CTGGATGTAAATGTTTAGCTTTCCTAAACATGTTTTGCTCATATATCTACCATTTATCAGGTACATTCAAATACACACAACAACATCCCTGCAGATAAAACTATTGCATTTATACTCATAATTTATTTAGTTCCTACAACATGCATGCCTTTCATTCTTTTATTAATTTGCCAGTAATGTAATTAGGCCTTCTTTGCACCGGATAATGAACCTGCTGTAATTTAAAATTTCTCCTAAAATATGGTTAGTCTTTGCAAGGTCTTGTTGATGTATTTAGGTTCATATTAAGCACATAGTGAGCTGCCCTGTACTTGTAACAGAGTGATACAAGCATAGAGAACGCAAACAACTTCTGTACTAAAGTTTTATGGTTTATCATCACAATGGATGGGTCTTTGGTAAAGTATGGGGGTTTCACCAAAATATGATTTTTTTCCTGAAGCAACTGGGCTGACATATTATGGGATTGATGGAGTACACATCTCTACATAAAATCCCATTTAAACTGTATGTCTGAGCAAATCTGGAGCAGCTGTGGCTGAGTGGTTAGAACAGTCGTCCTCCAAAGGGAGAGCTGGAGGTTCGATTCCACCTGTAGTCACATGCTGAAGTGTCCCTGCTGGTCTATGAATGTGATCTAAACAACTGATTAGTCTTTGTAAAAATATAATAGGTAGATTATATATGAAAGGGTAAATGAGGTCACAGATTGTAAAGCACTTTGAGTGTCTTGATAAGATAGAAAGCTGCTATATAAGTATAGTCCATTTACCATGTATCTGTTATAAAATGTTCTCTTAAGTTCTTGTTACTTTAATTTCCATGAAAAAAACTCCCACTTTTAAGTCTGATCAAGCATCAAGGCTTTGTTTTGCGTTCCAAAACCTTCCAAGATGGGAATCAGGAAATGTGAATTCTGGTCTGATTTATTTTTTTTTTTTGGTCATAGTCCTCATGTTATTTTGTAAGCAGCATCTTTTCTTGTCAAGCCCTGTGGTCTTTATTAAACTATTTCAATGGCTTTTCATTAAAAATGCCCCCCACCCCCACACACCTAAAAATCATCAACACGAATATTTCACATTTCAAAAAATTTTCGCAATCAAATAAACACTTTTAAGTTCTGCATAAATCGTGTGTTTTTACAAGTGTTAGCAAGAGGCATAAAAACAATCTGTCTCCACTAATGAGATGTCCTGAGGGTGTGAAATCTCAGAATGTAAACAACTTATCAAAAAAAAAAAAAGTATTCTGTCAGAAAATAATAAACTTTCACACAGAAAAGTTGCTGGAAAGGTGAATGTAAGCCAAAGGTCACGAAAGGCTACACATGGAAACAACCTAACACAGATATCATATCTGTGGACCCGCGTGGTGTGATCCTCCACAACAAAGCAGCATCCTGATGAGGTCAGAGAGAATTGTACCAGGGTGAGTGCAGAAAAAAATTCCCCGAGGCAGAAAACACCAGGAAGAATGTAGCAAATGCACTGCAAGATTTCTTCCAACCCACTAACAGAGATTTTTCAAATTTGCCGTGATCCAGCCTTGTTCTAATAGGTCATGAAGTGGAGTCTTCATGCACCATGAAGGAGTTCTTATCCATCCTGTAGTTTTTAATGCAAATTTCTAAAATATATAACCTTCATGAAGGTAAAAATATATAAACGGATATTTTAGAGAATCCAAAATACTGTTTAGGTCACACCTCCAACAACTTTTCCTAAAGGTAATAAGAAGAGAAAGCATTTTTCAGTTTTTTTATTTTGTCTTTCTAGATCAGTGATGAAGCCCATCTCAAGAAGTGACCACACAGTGTTAGCAAAACAGTATTTTATTAGAAACATTTTGTATAAAAAAATGAACATGCTCATCACATTTAGATTTTTTTCCCCATATAGATAATTCTTAAATATCCAGGCACTGTAACTTTTTTAATATGTATTTTTTTTCTTTTATAATTCAGTACATAAAGCAGACATCAGTCCATTTTATTAACATACAATAACTTGCCATTTAATTTCTGCCAGCACTTACATATTCTATGTTTTAACACACACAGTGTTGTAGAAAAATAAAAGAGGCTGTGCCAGAGAAAAAGCTGTAATTTATCGTTTTCACAATCACAAACAATCCCACAAACAATACTTGATCAAATGATGAGAAAACATTTGCGGCACCAGCTCAGGTTTGTTGAAGCTGAATCTATTAATTATTTATATTCCTCTGTAGTAGTATTCGTTTTGGACGTAGGGCCTTTCTCCCATATTCTCCTGATGACTTGTAATGGGTTCTGACATGCAACATACAGACGTTTACATTGTTGGAGATAAACATTTAATGAAACAAATTCTAGAAATATTATTTATGACCAATACGTGTGACTAAAGACAGAAAAGCTGTTTACACATCAATAAACCATTTTTCAATTTCGATTCGGATTTGAGTTTGAACAGAATCAAGAATAAAAAGAAAAAAAGTGGGGTTAACACAAAAAACAGGAAAAATGAAAAGAATGCCAGCAGCGATCTGGTGTGGATGAGGAACCAAATGAAAACACTCCAGTTTATCAAGCAGGAAAATTATTTCTGATATGAAAACAAATATTATTTTAGGGGTAGATGTAAATTGGAGGCAGTTATCATCTCTAGAGATTTAAAGCAATACTGACATACGTTAATTTAATTTATTTAATTTCCAGTGTTCAGAAATGCACTTGATTGCTCTGAGATGAAACTGACATCTTAGATTTTGGGTTTCCTGATCAATTTATCAATAACTGTGGACATGCCTGTGTAAATAAGCAGTGTTTGCTGCCAGGAAAGTGGGGTGCAGTCATCGTCTCGGTGGCACTGTTCACACTACTCCAAATATTTGATAAACAGATTTTCTGCTGCATTTGCACTTATTTAAATGCAGAGTTTTTGGTGAGAACTTCCTAATTCTTTCCAAAGTGGAGTTCTTTTTTTTTTTAATCTCTATTGTGCTATTTTTGTGTGCACGTGTTTTTATTTTTTATGTTGTCTTGGAAAAATATATGAACCACTGGATGGATTTTAATGAAATTCTCAGGAAGTAATCAACGGATGTACATCTTAGATTGACTGTGTTGTGATATCACATCAATTAAAGATGGCCACCACAGTGCAGGCATTGATAGCCTTAATTACAGTTAGATCAACACTGCTTTTTAAAGTAATTTGATAACAACTATTGATTCCATTACATCAAATCTGACAAAGTTTATCACAGGTAAAACAATTTTTAATAATGATGTAGGACTAAGATTTAGACAGAGATCTTAAGATTGCGCAATTAATACTCTTTCACAGAACACGCTCGTCAATGATGCAACTGTAGCAGTGAACCAGTGCAGTTTATGAATTTTATCTGGATCCATTCATCTATTATAGACTGTAACAATAAAATTGTATATTTTAACATTCAAATAAAATGTTTTCAAGTGCGTTTATGCCTACAAGGACAAGCTAAAAAATTAGCAAAACATTAAAATGAATATTTAAAGAAAGGTAGAGTTAACCATGTATGAAAATGGATACCCTGTCTCCACTTTATTTGTGGCCAAATCTTTTTCAGGTCGTTTCGTTTTGTTTAGTGGTCTGTTTTTGTCTTTTAGCTACACCTGCTGTTCTGGAAGCGAGCTGCAGCAGCTCCAGCACAAACTGCAGCAAACACTCTGTGAGGGTGCTTCACCCTGATCGTGTGGATCAACTAATATTCCATCCATCCATCCATCCATCCATCCATCCATCCATCCATCCATCCATCCATCCATCCATCCATCCATCGTCTTTTACCCACTTCTTCCTTTTCGGGTAATGGGAGCCACTGGTGTCCATATCCAGCAATCACTGTGAGAGAGGCGGGGACACCCTGGACAGGTCTCCAGTCCATCACAGGGACACATTGAGACAAATGAGACAAACAACCATTCACTCTCTCACTTACACCTAGAGACAATTTAGAGTTACCAGTCAGTCTAACATGCATGATTTTGGTCTGTGGGAGGAAACTGGAGTACCTGGAAAACCCATGGATTCATGGAGATAACATGCACCCAGAACCCCACTCTGAAAGATCCAGGGCAAGGAAAGTTTTAGGGACAACTGTGACTTTTAACAATCCATCCATTTTCCTTACCCACTTTTCCATTCTGGGGCACATGGATGCTGGTGCCTATGTCGATCAGTCACTTTAAAAAATATATTTACAAAATGTTTACAATTTATTTGATTATGATTCTGTGTGGACTTGATTCAAAGCTTTTCATAAATATTAAGCGAACTGTCTATTCAGTGTGTGCTCACTATCAGTTTGTGCCGTAGAAACCACAAAATTTGAGTCATTTTTATTGCTTTTGCTGCTTCTGTATTTAACTTGATTCTGTACCAAATAAACTTTAATCATTTGCTTAAAAGGTAATTGAAAGGAAACTATAAATATTATCTTAAAACCAAGTTTCAGAGGTGCATACTGTAGACTGATATTGCATAAACGTGGACATTCTTGCCACCTAGTGGCATGGTATTGGTATGTATGTGGTTCTATAAGAATCATGTGGCAGATAATTTTTCGTAAACACGGAAAAAAAAAAAATCATTTGAAGTAGTGTAGACAGGGCCTAAGATAATATCCAACATTGTTAATAATGTTTAATGGTACAGATGTTAAATTTCAAAAGTGAGAACCCTACTTAACCAAAGCTTCAAAAAGTGTGAGATAAATAATGTCCAATAAAAAAATAGGTCGTTGAAAATATGCATTATTAGGTCTCCAGGCCCTTGCTGATTCTTATGATGTGTAATGTTGAGACATTTAATGACAGTACGAGCGCAGCTTGGTTCTTTATGTGTACTCTTTCCAGCTGAATGAAACCCAAGGCATTCCAAATGACATCTTTACGGTGAATGACAAACATGACACATGTTGCATTCCATAGACGTTGATAACACAGCACAGTACACGTGATGCTCCCATAAGCATGCACTGGGACTGTACAGTAGATTTTGCCAAGAAGATGATAGTCATCATCATTATGAAACATTTATAAAACAACCGGAACAATCCCTGCTGCTTTAGTTATCCGCGTTTCATGTGTGGTTGTTTTATGAAGGAATACTGAGTGTACTGTAGTAAGGCATGTACAGTTTGAAAAGTACTGAAGCTTCAACTCCACTAAGAACTGAAACCAAAAATAGTATGACCATGACTCTATACTCGATCCACTTGCAAACTGCATTTGACAAAAGAAAACTGAACACACTCCCTGGTTTTGCTGAAATGAGATGATTCAGCCATAGATAGAACTGAAATTGTGTCCAAATGCTTCAGAAAACAAACTGTCAAATCCAAGTGGTCCGTCCAGGCTTTGTAAACATCACTGGTCGCTGCTTGCTTGTGTCTCATAATGGGTGGGAAGAGGAAAATTACCTGTCCCAGCTCTTTTACGTCTTTCGTCTCGCTTCTCTATTCATTAATTTGGCATTCAGGCCTTATTCTCGTGACAAAAACCGGCATCCTTCAAAAATGATTGTTTTCCTTCGTTTCTACATCAGTGTTCTCTGTCATAGTAGCTCGACAGGCCTCCTGTATATCCCTCAGAACAGGTGACTCCAACTGCAGCAGGCCTTTGGTCCTCTCCCAAAGTTCCTCCTTGTCTTAGATGGCATGGTTACTGTAGCTTATGTACGTCTGCTTCGAGGCCAGCGCTGTAAGTGAGGGTGTAGAAAGAAGCAAAGAGTTAAAAATGCAACAAGAGAGCCTCTAAGAGGCATGAAAGAGTAATCTCTGAAATCCACATTGTAGGAATTCAGATTATTATGAGACTCTATTTATAGATGAATTAATTAACCAAGCGCAGGCGAAACTAATTGTGATACCAGGGTAATAAAGTAAAAAAACAATTACAAAAATATTCCCTGCTACTGCAGCTAATAAAATTAGAAATGGAAACATTGTTGTGAAGCTGAGGACTTCAGATTTGTGGAGACTGTTAAAAATAAGCAAACAAACAAAATTACTGTCATATTTACCACCAATCTACAAAATAGAATTAGCAAAAAAAAAAAATATAAAAAAAAAAAAAATATATATATATATATATATATATATATATATATATATATATATAGAGAGAGAGAGAGAGAGAGATACATATATATATATATAGATATATATATAGATATATACTGTATATCCTTTTAATCAGGATTTATTTTATTGCTCTACAGTCCGTTCATAAATTAGAACTTTATTTTAATGTATTTATTTTTGCTTTCTGAAATAAAAGTTTGAATTTATATTTTAGAAAATGTTTTGTGACAGTCAAACATCATCATTCTTTAAAACTTGTTCAGTAAATCAACTGCTTTCCATAAACACATTTGAGTATTTAGTCAAAAGTTACAGGTGTAAACTTGTAAAGAAAATATTTCTGTGGAAGGGAAAACCAATTATGACTTTCATTTTTAATTACAGAATACCATGAGATTTGTTATCAGCAGGTGAAATATTAGTGTCATAAAAAAGGATAATTCAGTGTGCAACTTAACGTATGTGCCAAATCAAAGACATACATTACAATGATAATTTCAATTTAACAGATATTACTGAGTATATTTTTGACAAGCTAACTCAATTTGTCAAATCAGATATTATTTTATTGCCTAAAAGAGTGGTGATTTTCTTTATAAGTTAAAGTTCAAACTTGAAATTTCAGGTGCAACTTTTAGATTGAACATGTGTTTTAACCAATTCCAAAATACTAACATACAAAAATGTAGAAGAAGCATTTTAAAATGTATTTACTTATGAATGAAAAACAACAAAAAAACAAAAACAAAGCAAAAACAGTTATTAAGACCAAGTAAATGCTTTTATTTTAAAGTGAATCAACTAATATAAATAAATATCTTAACTGTTGCTATAATTGTTACAACATTGCACACAATTCAACAATATATCTTGCTAAACTTTGACTTCAGTGCAGTTGGGATCAAAGTTACTGGCACACACTGGCATCGCTGATGAGGCCAGTGTGTGTAATTGTTACGGCAACATTCACAAAAGAGTTTTTTCACTCTTAATATTTTGCATTTAATTGCATAATAATGAGGCACGAAGCAGATAAGAGCAGTAATGTTAAATCTAACAGCCATTCAAATGCAAGTCTTTCATCACATGCAAAGACAGGGTTCTTTGTGCACCAAGCAAAGCATGCAGCAGTCAGTGGATCGCCCAGTTTAATGATAAAACTGTCCTGGTATAAGAAGGAAATAAGGATTAAAGGCCTAGCATTTCCTGATTGAATGCATAACACCAACTGCCTTTCATGCCAACGTTTTAAACTGATTACCTTTCTCATGAGATGTGTTCGTGTACGTGTTGGGAATCATTCACACCGCATTTTAGCTCCAAACCTGTAAAACTGCCTGAGTTTTAGCCATATCACTGTTGGAAAATGTTAATTAGCTGTGGTGGCCATCTTGAATTGAGTTGTCTTCAAAAGTCAACCAGTTGTCGATGTTTATATTTATTATTATTATTATTAATATTATTATTATTATTATTATTATTATTATTATTAACCTTTATTTAACTAGGCAAATCCCATTGAGATCACAGATCTCTTTTGCAAGGGAGGCCTGGGCCTGAAGGCAGACTAACATGCATGTTTTTTGATGTACCTGTACATCAAATTTATAGTTTTTTGAGAGTTTCAGTAAAATATATTCTCTGGTTCATTAAACATTATGCTAACAAGCATGGACAACAACAGCTGATGCTAAAGTTTTAGGGTTTGTAGATGATGTTCAGCTACTACCACACCAAATTGTTGCTTAATATCTGCAACACTGGTTGAGTTTATACCTTATTTGTTTTATCTAAGGTTATTTTGCTGTGGCAGCAATCTTGAATGCAACTGACTCTTAAAGTTAACCAGTTGTAGAAGTGCATCTAATGATTTTACTTCTAAAAAAAATAAAAAAATCCATCCACTGGTTTGGTTCAAGGGATTTTTTGCTAACACAAGAAATTAATGAACACAGAAATGGGCAAAAACATTATTGCCCGTTTGCCTTTGGTAGTAGGTGATAAATAGTCAACACATTATCTGATTGGCACTGTTGACTTTAAGCACAGTAAACTTTATTTTTTTACTTTTTTAGTTTATAATGTATTAGTTATCATTTGAACAAAAACAGTGAATAGACCGCACTGACCATAAACGTCCCACCTACCCCACCTCTACCTGTTTGTACAGTATGGCATTCTGAAGTGCACACACTTTATGTGCAAGGGTCAGTGAGTGTGTCATATTTTGAAATAAAACTGTCCTCAGTGAGCATGCTCAGTGGTGGTAATCACAATACCAATCTACCAATCTGCCTACAGCAGCACTGACTGATTGAAAATGTCACAAGGGATGAATAGGAATAGAAAGGCAGCAGAAACTCCTGAGCTGGGGCGAAAGAGTTCTGAAGAAGATTTGTTTTCTTCCGTAAACTCTTCTGTATTTCTGTCAGTGCCATATTGGATGTGGAAATGGGAGGTGGTACTCCTTCCATTTTATCAAAAGTGTCTGTTCCTATAAAGCATTGATAAATGAACCTTATTTGAATATATATGCGCTGCGAGGCCAAGATAAAGAATAGATGGTCCAGAAAGAATTGGAGCTGGCAGACCCATCTGTCTTTTCCTGTTCGTTCGTATTGTTGTTGTTGTCTCATTACCACAAATTTCTCTTTTTGTCAACAGGGAAACAAATTACAAGCGACACATAGCTATCGCTTGTCTTGTACACTCAGGCTCAGTGTTGTCAGCTTTCCACATTAACAGCCTATGCGGTGCTGATTGGTCATTTTTAAGCACCATCCACAAATATTGTCTCTCCACTGTACAGTGTGTTGGTCAAGGGTGGTTATTTGAGCATGTGATTACTGCCTCGTGACATTCAGGGTGCTGCATTTCTCACGATGCTTTGTGAGTTGCATCAACAGGCAAAGGTGTTAAAGGAGGTGAACATTAGAGGAAATTAACAGGAGAAACAAAAAGTGGTCATGGGTAATACAAAGGGTAGAGTCATGGTCTGATTCAGTTACCTGGGAGTCTAAAGCCCATCACAAGGCTCCCCTCCCTCAACATAGTCTGACACATAAGCACAAAAAGCAGTTGTTAGATATGAAGTTCAAACCAGAAAATGAGAATCACTGTCAATACAATGGGTTTTATATTTGGGTAAGATGGAACAACTATGTTCTTACACACAAAAAGGAACGGCTTTTGAAGATCTAATACGCATCACTGTATACAGTTCAACTTGTCAGATATAAAATCAAACATTCAGCCATCACACCATATGGGCCTGCTTGATAGGATTTAAGCTTGCCCCCACGCAGAGACTGCCTACTCATACACATTATCTTTGAGATTGAAGCATCCTCTTCTTTCTGCCTTTTCAAATCAGAACATTGTGGGCACGCTGTCACGCCTTTTGGTTCTCAAATTTTGTGACAGTTTGTGAAAATAAAACTTTCTTGTTATGTTCAGAAACAGAGAACAGAAAAAAAGCTAGTTGTGTTTTTTTTTTTTTTGTATTTCTAAAATGATTTTGAAGAACGTAGATTACTGCTTCTTGCATGGCTACTATGACACTGCCACCGTTCTAAATGTCATCTGATATAAATCTTATAGTAAAGAAGCCCATGCTTTAACTTTGCTCCGTTGGCAATAAAGCAAAGGCTCAAGTTCTTCCTTTTTTAAACACTTGCATGTCACTTTCTAATTTCCTGTGCTGCTTGAGGGGATAAATCAATTAGGTCCAGCTAAAACAACCACACATGTATTCTCTTTCTATATTAGCAAAAGAACACGTCACATTACGGCATAAAACCAGCTCCTTTGTATTCTCGTTGTTGCAACAAGAGATTTGGTACAGACCTTGTGTTTCCAGACTTTCACAGAGTTCAGACTTGGCCTCTCCATTTGGCCTCAGGCCTCCTTTGGGGTTGAACTTGTTGGACATCGTGGCTGCAGTAACCACAGCTTTGAGGCTGCGCTTGCGTTTAGGCACGTTCTGCTCCGGATGGAACAGAACCACGTAGACCTTGGGCATGTAGAGCATTCCCAGAGAGACGGATGCACTGAGACTGACAGAGATAGTCAGAGTTGTAGTCTGGATATACATCTGAGGAACAGACAGCGGAGACCAAAGATCATCAATTGTCAAAGAGGCACTGATATTCAAGGTTTTAGAGGGTAAATTGAGCACACAGTATGGAAAGTTTTGTTTCTCAGTTCCTGTTCACATGGAAAATATATAGCTCCGATGCAGTTATGTATGTTGAGCACACAAATTAAGACTCAAGTTATAATCGCACTTAAGGATAATGCTTCTACTTAAATCACAACATTTATGCAAAAAAACATTTTGAACAGTACATAATTGTCACAAAAAAAATCTAACGTAAAGAAACCTCAGTCAACAAATTTCAAAAAGAAGATAAATAAATGTTTTGTTGATTTGCCTCCTTTTCTGAAGTTGATAAACAAAGTATTGAATGGAAATGCAGACATGCTTTAAAGAAACTACTAATGAAACTGTGAGTCTGCTTTAAGATGGGAGTGATCACCTATAACTGGTGTACTCTTCATCTGGTTCCCTGTACCCACACCAGACATCAGTCTTGTGATGTTCGGTACTAATAAATACTGTAGTTTGGTAAATACATGCACATTTACAACCCTAATTGGTGTTTGTATTATTTTCTAAAAATATATATATATATATTACCAATACTCAATTAGCAACTGGTTTTAATTGTTTTAATAAACTAAAGACACATTTTCACAGGTTTTTCTTTAGGGTTCACAACCAAACTCAACTTTGAGAATCACATATCTATGCTGATGTAAAAAAAAAAAAAAGTAAAATCTGTTGAGAAGCTGTTCAAAAATTGAGCCCCCTAAGACCATGTTAGGTTAGAAAAAAAAAGCTATGTCAGTGGAAGATGGAAGTGATAAAGTCCTGTATTCGATCATACCTCAAACAGCACATGAGCCTCTTTTAGTGATAGAGGGCGAGTGCTGCAATCTCCTGAGAAGATTACACTTGCCCTGGGGTGAGTTCGGAACAATATTACTAGCCCTCTGGAGTACAGAGTGGAACTGGTCTCTGAGGGGAGCCCAGACCCTTGTCCACCTTCATCGGCCTTGCTGCCATAAATTTTTCCTGAAGTGCTGAAATGATGGCTACAGTGCTCCTTTGGCACATTGAAGCAAAAGAAGAAGGGTCAAAAATCATTATGAACATTCCTGAATGCACCACTGCTTCTGTTGACAGTCCTCATTCAGAAAAATTGGACAAGGGATGCCTCTATGCATTTCTGTGAAGAGAAATTTATTTTTCTAGCTGTTGTTTTCCATACCTACATGGCTTAAACATTCTAAACATTGCTAACTTTTAAACATATGATTAAAAAATAAAACTTTGACCGTATCTTGTTGTGTGAATTTTAAACTTTGGGACATTGCTGTGGTATTTCAAAAAAGAAACATATGAAAACTCTGAAGAAAAATAATAATTTGTTTGATTAAAAACAAATTCAATGTGTTCCCTAGTTACACTGTGTTTGGGAATATGTTCCACAATAACTTCATTCAACCTTTATGCACAGGTTAGTGTCACTGAGTCACGAGGACTCATTTACAAGAGAGACCTGTTTTAACAATGAACTGCTGCCAATCACTGCTGTCTCATTTATCAGACTATCTGCTACTGGTGACGAGCAATTTCCTTTTGATTCAGGCCATTGTATTTAATATTAGTGACATAAAACAATATCGCAGCAGCTGTTCAGAAATTACTTTAGTATGGCAGGTTTATGGGTTTACAGGGCCTATCTCTAGCAGTCAATGGGCAAATAGGAGTATAACATAACAAAGGCATTAAGATAAGTACATTTTCGCAACTTAAAATTTAAAACTAGTTTAAAAATTGTATCCTCCTGATGCCTTTACCCTCTATTGAGGACATTAACATTATCTGCACTATAAGATTTTATTCCAAACTACTAAAAGTTAAAAAACATTGTTTTTGCCTGTTTTATTGAGGTACTACTAATTAATCAAGATTATATTAATCACGCCCACCAAAGAAATGCTCATGACCCAAGAGGTTATAGTTGTTTGAGAACATCCATCCATCCATCCAGTGCCTTTACTTGCTTTTCTAAGGGAACTTGTGCCTATAGCTACAGCGGTCACTGTGCCAGAGGCGAGGTGCACGCTAAATAGGTTGTAAGGCCATCACAGAGCCACATAGACAAACAACTGTTTTCACATTTTGGGATAATTTTGACTTACCAATTAACCCAACATGTTTTACATCTGTGGGAGGAAACCAGAATACCTGGAGTAAGCCCATGCATGCACAAGGAGAGCATGTAAATTGGACATAACCTCATGTAACCTTAAACAAATACCCAACTAAACTAACCTCATAACCGCAGGTCAGAGGCTAATTTGCAATGTGTTTGCTTTGAGGCAACAGCTCTAACCTCTACTCCACTGTGCCGTGTGTTTTAAAATTTTATAACTTTATTATTTTTAAGAAAGTTATTGTTTTCTACACAAGCAAGCATTAACATTGACAGACACTTGAACTAACTTGCTCTTATTTTGCCCCAACTATAAGATTCACATGAAAAGCTGAATTCAAATTCCGTTGAAAATTCATCCTTGTTCTCAAAACAAAGATTATGCTGAATGCGGTCTACTGCTGCTAAGATTAAAAAAAAAAAAAACTACCACAACCCACTGTTAAAAAAAAAATAAAAATTGAAGTACTGTATTTTTTGGCTTATAAGTCAGTTTTTTTTTTTTTTGCATAATTTGCATGTCCTGTGACTAGTAAGTCCAAAGCCGCATATTTATGGATTTTTTCCCATATTTTTAAACCAATTGTTGGCTGAGATGTGACCGTTTTCATTAATTCTGACTATAAAAAAATTGAACAGTACCATTTTCAGCCACTAGATGGCAGCAGAGTAGTAGTAGCAGTAAGGCATGCCGTTGTATGGTGTAATAGGTAAAAGTGGCTATTATGACAAATTCAAAAAAGTTCAACACAAAAACATCTGGAATTTATTTATTATACTTTATTGTTTTTGTCTTGGACTTTTTTGAATTTACCATGTCCTGAATGGCTGAGAGTCTTCACCAGCTGTTAATGACACAATTGGCTTGCCATATACTGCCACCTTTGTTCTGATCCCTGCTTAGAGCAACCTTCAAACCAGCTGCACCACCCTGGCAAAATGCAACTAATTTGTCCATTAAAGTGCATTTATTAAGCAAATGTTAGACTGAGACACACTTTTGCTATAACTTTGAGAAAACCAATAATTGTTTTAGGTTCTTTTCTTAATAAATTTTGAAGAAACGAGCAGCGTTCATCCTTCCTTTTTTTCCTCTGTGTGCTCCTGGAGCACCGAGGCAGCAAATACTTTTGAAATACAGCTGATTTGAGCGTTAAAGTCCTTTTATTAATCAAACATTAGACTGAGACACACCTTTACTATGAAGTCGAGCAAATAAATAATTGCTTTTAAGTGTTTATCTTGTTAAATTTTGAAGAAATGAACAGCGGCTCGTTGCTCTGTGTTCTCACTTACGTGAATCGGGTTTTGAAATGCAGCTGATTTGACAAAGTGCATTTATTTATTAAGCAAAAGTTAGACTGAGACACACATTTACTATAATTTCGAACAAATAAATAATTGTTTTTAAGTGTTAATCTCGTTAAATTCTTATTAAAGTCCTCCCATGCATGCTCCCGCAGATGCCATTTGGCAACCCATTGATTTTTGGCACGACACCATCCTACATTTCTGTGTTCAGTCCACATTTTCGGTGTTGTCAGCGGTGACGCGTAACAAACGCGATGTGTCAGCGGTGACATATAATAGATGCGATGTATACGGCGAAGCGACAAGATTAGGGATTTTTTCACTTTTTTTGACATATTTGGACTGATGCGATTTATAGCGCAGTGCGACACGTACGGCGGAAAATACGATATGCTTTAATATGTTATGTATGTTTTAGCTGGCAAACATTTAAATATGTATGTGTATATAAACAAAATTTCATGAAAAGAAGACAAGCTCTGCGACATTGTCAGATTTGTTCGAATAAATTCTGCCTTGCTCTGTTCTTCATGAATGCCATTTAATATGTTGCTAAATGCAAATGCTCACATCTGTTCCTGCATGTTTGTAATATTTCACTTGCACAAGATGTCAATGCAAACTCATCCAAAAATATTCTTTCTGCCACACTTTCATTTGTGGTGCTGACAGTCTAATGGCTGCTATTAAGTTTGTTTTTGTGCAGAGCTCCTGATGCTTCTACTGCCGTAGTAATTTGACTTTTCTTGTCTCTGCTTTTAAAAATACGTCTGTGTTGCACAACCTCAAATTTAGCACTTGTAGGTGGTAATTTTTGATTCATTTTCAAATGACAACACCAAGAGCTACAGTAATGTTACCCTACTTCACAAACATGCATTAACTATGTCTGCCAGCAAGAATGTGCAGTGATTGTCGACTCAGAATTTCCACTCAGTGAAGTTAAATCAAACACAGACATCGAAACACAAGTAAAGAAATCATATTTAGGCAAACATGAGATGAGTGACTTATCCTCACAAGCTGAGTCTAACAGCCTTGTAATCCCCTCGGTGAGCACAAAAAGCCCATCAGCTTAGGACAAATCATAGTGACATCCACAAACACAAGTGGCTGATACTTTGGGGGGAAAAAAATAAAATAAATGACAAATTTCTGTACAGTTAGGCTCACATATTTATATCATTATTTATATTACAATCCCAGCATTTTTATGAAGGAATACGAATCATCACGTTGCGTAGAGGTTTAAACTGAGATCATTTAATGTTAAGAAATGATGGAGTAAAAGTTGTTTTGGTTAAGCTCAAACTCAATGAATATAGTAAGATCTCACACAATGTGTTAGCCCTCAGGTTATGTCTTGGAGATGTATTCTCAGTCACAGCCTCATCAGTGCTTAGCTTCTTGTTCATAAAATTGACCATACTGGCCTTTTTTGTTTTGGCTCTGGTCAATTAGCAAAGGTAACCATTTTGAACTGGGTTTACTTTACACGTAAATCAATTTTAGATGTAAAAATAAGAGGAGAAAAGGCTGTTTGGAATTTCTCCATGACCCTGTTGCCTCCATGACCCCATCCAAGTTTAAGTGGCATAAAATGGTTGATTGATTGATTGATTGATTTGATGGATGGAATTTTTGTTTGATCTGTTCAGTCATTCAGTACATATTTTACTACAGACAAAATGTTTGAATTCTATAGTTAAAGCCAACGTTTGATTTAAAGATCTTATTGTATAGTATTAAGTAGTTGTGCTGAGGATAACTTTCTGCTACTAACATACCAAATTTTAGCTCAATTTCTAAAAATTTGACTGAGATATAGTTGTTATAACTGAGTTATAACAAAGAGACAAAAACATATTGGCTGTCTTTTGCTTTTCAGCTGTGGGTCAAAATCAAGGTTACATCCAGTATGCTGAAATACATGTAACAAACTTTACTTTCTGTGAATTTAAACATACTGACATCTGTGTAGAGATCTAAAACACTGTCAGGATGGGGTAAACATGTTTTGGTTGCCCTCATCAGAGTTAAAGTAGAATGGTTACCTTTTCTGCTGATTGTGAAGTCCCAAAGAAAATTGGGATGAAGGCTAGCCATACAATGCAGGTGGTGTACATGGTGAAGCCAATAGGCTTGGCCTCGTTGAACGTCTCTGGAACTCCTCTGGTTTTGATGGCATAGACTGTGCAGGTAACCATTAGGAGCATGCTGTAACCCAGCAGACAGATCAGAGACAGGTCGGAAATATCACATTTGAGGACACCTCGGGCCATTTCAGGATTGGCTGTACGCTGGTCCTCATAGTCGATGATGGCTTGTGACGGATCCACACCAAACCAGATGCACACTCCAAGCAGCTGCACTGAAATCAAACTGAAAGTGATGACTAGCTGGGAGGCCGGCGAGATAAATCGAGGAGCACTGACTGACATTTTGCCCTGCTCGAAAATCCTGTAGATACGATTTGTCTTGGTGAGAAGTGCTGCGTAGCTTATGCTCATGCCCAGGCCAAGGAAAATCCTTCGCAGGGAGCACACAAACACGTCTGGAGTCGAGATCATGAGGAATGTTGTAGCATAGCACAGAAAGATACCAGTAAGCAGCACATAGCTCAGTTCTCTACCAGATGCCTTGACAATGGGCGTGTCATTGTAGCGTACAAAGGTAGCAACCACCAGCAGAGTGGCTATGATCCCCAACAAGGCAATTAGGACAGGGATGACTGCCCATGGTGAGCTCCACTCCAGCTTCACAATGGGAATAGGAACACATTCAGTGTGATTTTCATTGGGCCGCAAATCATAGCGGCACATCTTGCAGGTGTAAGTATCTGCCTGATACTGGTAACCATCGCAGTTCTCACAGTGCCAGCAACATGGAATTCCCTTCACTATCTTCTTACGCTGGCCGGGACGACAGGGTTGGCTGCAGATGGAGGAGGGGACTTCCTGTGTTCCACCAGGCCACTGCATCTCACTGATCTGAGGAGAAAAATGTACAACCGGAGAGAAATGTTCAGTATACTGACAACAAAGGTGTTTCAGCCTTATCTTTTTCTGTTTCTTATGCCTTAGGGGTATTTTTTTTACATCTGAAATATGTAGTTATATTAATACTATATGAGTCAACAAAACAAATGACATAAAGCTCAAAATGCTGCATGTACAGATTTGTGGGGACAAAGCACAAGAGTTTTTAATTTATAAAGATATCTTATCACTTTGAACACTTAAAGTGACTCAAGGAGGAAACATTTATATGATAGTAAAACAGTCTGTTTGTCAAGTTACATTTTTAAACTGTGAAGTTTAAAACAAATCTTCTTTATTTCTTACAAGTTAGTACTTAGTACTAAGAGTACTTAGTACTAACATGCACTTAGCACTGGAGGTTGAACACAGTATTTATTGAAATATTTATTGTCTGTGTTGTTGTGTCACAAGTTTGTTTTGTATTAATATGAATTTTAAAAAAAATCATATTATTGTGTGCATAACAAATATGATGTCCTCATATACACTATATTCACAAAACAACTGTCTTGTAAAAATGTACTGACATAATTAAGAGTTCAAGGAAAATAACCTGACATCAATGTCTCTGGTACAATAATTACAGTGAGCAGCGCCAACATAAGAACACTTTTGAGCTTATTGATGATGAAACTTAAAAAATGTTAAGACCAAGGAATTTTCACCACTTCAAAATATGTACTTGGTCCATTTAAATAAATGGTCCATGTAAAAAAAAACATGTTTGTTATGTATATGTGAATAATTAGTACATGCAAATGTTAAACTAAGGGGATTTAAATGATATAATGCATGATTTTAATTTAATTTTAATTATATTAGAATAACTATCTTCGTAAGTTTCTATGCATGTTGACTGTGTGCTCAATGGTTTAATTGCTGTTCCTATTTTCACCAATTTAGTTGTTAAAGATACTGCTGCACAAACCAACTTTGATTGTCTACATGGAATAATCTCCCAAAGATAATCAGAGTTTAATTTAAAAATAATGTCTATTGTATTTACACCATTCTTTTCTCTAAAAGTGTTTAATTGCCTAAAAATTCTCACATTTTCTGTCGGATTGTTGTTCTTTAAGAAAGACAGAAGAAATATGTTTTATTAAGTGTAAAGAGTTACATAAAAACAATATGTACACTAAACTTTTATATGTGCTTCAATGGATGCTTTAAGTGTCACACAGTCTATAGTGGAAGCAAGATTAGAAGGTTCGTTAGCGCAACTGGCAGAAAATACATTTGCATGTGACTTTAAAAGTCCTTATTTAAATTTTATTTCAAAATGCTGAAAACATTTTCCAAACATTTCTAGCCTTGCACACAACTCCAAAAAAGATAAGCTGAAATAATTTAAATCATTTTTATATATGGTGTTTTATGTTGTTTAAATACGTTCAACTAATTTATGAATTGTTTTACCTTGGCTTTTTTCCCAAATGCAGAAGTAGCCAGTAGTTACAAATATTAGTACAAAAAAAATGTATATTATGATCAAAAATCAAATGATACAGTATAAAATACCAGAATCTTACATCTAAGTGGAGCTGGTCTGTCCAGTGTCCAATGATCTTGTATTCTGTGTTGTTGTTTCTGATCTGGTACTGGTAGATTTCATAACGACCTGGAGCATCACCATTCACATTGAAGACCACTGGGATGCCAGCAATTCCTAAAAATATGAAAGAAAATAAGAAAATGTTTTGGTTTTTTGAGAACAAGTGGTAAACTGAAAGCTGAAGCACAGAATGAACAATGAAAGTAAATGTCTTGGTCTTATTCTCAAGTTGTGACAAGATGAAAGGAAGTTACAAGAAGACTTCAGCTTGGTGCTAATAATGATAGCTGCTGAATAGATGCTGACACACGTTGTCCTGGTGATTAGAGAGCCGAGGCTGCTGTCTCTGTATGTTTGCATCCTTTCACACTCTTTCATCCTGCTTACGACTTCATGACCAGATATTAACAACCCGTCCACTCAAAGTGCTAACAAATGACAGCACTTATTGAAATCACTGCTTTGAGCTCTCTTGCATGTTTCTGCTTTCTGTGTTTTTGAGCTGACTTACAATTCCCTCATGAGACTCACAAATAAAAAAATAAAAATAAAAAAACTGTCTTAAAAGGGAAAAGAATATCATGGAATTAGTGAAGCTTCTCTTTGGAAAAGATAAATAAAAACATCCACAAATGGGTGTTTTAAAATGTTCATTTACTTTTTCTTCTCCTACGATGCAAACAACCTTTGAGCTGTCAGAAATTAAACATGTTAAAAAATGGAAAGAAGAAATATATATATACATTATATATATATACGTATATATATATATACACATTATATATATATATATATATATATATATATATATATATATATATATATA